GGTTTTGTTTGGTCAGTGAAGACAACAGGCATGGATCAAATAAGGGTTAACAATAATGCACTTGAACAAATTGAATCTGAACATAATACATGTGTTGAATTTGATTGCAACATGCATGTCCATGGAAAAGTTTTTTGTTTAAAACAAATCAAAGCTATGGCTTAATTATCAAAGCAAAACAAGAGACATAAAGAGCTACATGTTTCTGATACTGCTTTTTTCAAAAAATAGCTCCCTTCACACAGTTATCTACATGTTTAATTTCCATGCATAATAGCAACAGTTATTGTTGTCACTTGTTAAGAGAGATTAACAGATATTAAGTACAAACGCACGCAAATAAGGCCTGAATAGAGAGGTGACAAAGAAGAAAAGACCTCTTTAATGTTAATTATAACTGGCAGGAAGTATATACAAATGACATTAACTGTTTTCTTTATGAATTGAAGGGACATTTAGTTAGTTAGTATCTACATAACACATTTGGGTTTTTTTATTGTAGGCAACAACTTAGATCTCTGTTTTTTAAATACAGTTTATTGAGAAATGTACTGTTCAGTGAAAGTTGTATGTTTTGATCATTATTTCTCAGTAGTTGAAAACAGGTATAATAGTAAGCTGTTGAATTTGAAGGCTTATTTTTATCCTAAGCTATTGTTTTTAGTTTAAGCAGGGTTTTTCAGTCTTTTTTCATCTGTATTTTGTGACCAGCAAAGTTCCCAGCACTTTCTTCAACGGTGACTGCATTAAACCGAAACAATTGCATAAAGAAACTTGCTTCAAATGTGATTATTCAATGGTAGTTTGGGTGGACCATCTATGCATTCCCTTATCAGACAATAGAAGCAGTACTTTGGAAGTGGTGTAGTCCTTTGTTTCTTAATTGTTAGCTAAAAATGCCAATAGGTGGCAGAAAACACACTGTTACTTTTATCGTGCGTTATTTTCATGGTTGTCTATTTTTGAGTATTCTGCTCAGCTGAAGTTGGGATGCTGTTTCCATTCCAGGCTTTGTTTTTTCAGTTGCACTTGCATTCCCTTACTAAATACCTTACTATCTGGCAGCTTCCATGCTTTGTTTTTCTAGTATAATAAATTGTTTTAAAGTTCAAATGTAGTCATTTAATACGTTTTGAGTCATGAGTGTTCTCTTTGTGCACGTAGAATCTTTTTATACTTCCAGCTGAAACAATTACGCTCTTAAACAGGAGGGTTTTGGAATGGGTGAGGACACCCTCTGCACCTCCCCCTGCCTGGCTGTGTATTTTGAGGCCCTGTTTGTGTCAGACTGCAACCAGATGTTTCATAGGAAGGTAGAGATGCCACATAATAAGCAAATATGGCATAAACAGCTTTCCACACAGACCATAGCTTTTGTCTCTAAGAATTAAGTTAATGGGAGGTCTGTGACAATTCATTATCCTTTCCAGAAATGTTTTTGTGTTTTCCCTCACAGTGGCTCTAATGATATTGTCAGTACTCACATAAGTGAGTGCCTGAAGATCTCAGTGCTATCCTCGAGTACCTTTTTTCGGTAGAAAGTTATTTCATGTCTATTAAAATTGAGTTATTTTAAAAATGTGAGGCAACAGATTAACACCTTCCTCTTTTAGAAGTAAATCTTAGGTTATTGCAAAACCAAAGCCTAAGGACTAGCTTTTTCACTTGAGGCTCATTTGTGTCTGCTGACTCCAGAAGACGCAGGTCAGGTGTCTGTGTTACTCAGGTCTTAAATTAGGACTTTTCGTGGTGAAGCATCTGCTGATGAAGTAGCTCAGTCTTGTTGAGCAGTGTCTGTCTTTCTAATATCGCTTGTGAAATATTTGTCATAAATAATTTGTACGTGACAAGGAGAGTGGCACTAGGACTGCTAGGGCAACAGTTGTGCAAGAGACCAGAATTAAATCCACAGAAGATTTCTGAATTCTTGGAATTTTCTCACCGTGCAGTATTAAATATGTAATGATTTATGTTGTTCATCCACATAACAATAAAATTCAAACATAGTGATCAGATTCACTGATCATACTGTTTCCAAAAAACTTGCTCTGACATTAGGTGTGCCCTTATTTTATTAAGAGAGTCTAGAGCAGGGTTTGCCTCATCTCAAAATCTGTTAGGTGAATTGCTTTTTGGAGATGCTTTTTTTTTCCTCCATCTACTATAAATGGATCATAGGGTGACTAGCTTACACTGGGTATCAGGCTTTTAGATATCCAAAGTTGTGCATATCTTAATGGTCTCTTTCTATTTCTGCATTATGGACTTGAGCACACATTTTAGGTAGTGCTGTACATCTTGCTGTTGGTGTGAAGTTCCCCACAGAGTTTTTCTGGTCTGCCCACATGGGCATAAAAGCTCCTCTCCGCAAGAGCAACAGGAAGTGTTTTGATGGGTTTGGCACCGAGTGGGATAACATTGAGAATATGACATGGCTGGAGAAATGGTGAAAGAAGAGAGGTCTCTGGAATAAATGAAGTTATTTGGAAAGGATTTGAGGTTTCATCTTTAAAAAAAAAAAAAAAAAAAAAAAAAAAAAAAAAACAAAAAAAAAAACCAAACCAAACCTGAATCAGACTTCTAGTGCTTTTGAAAAGATTATAGAAGAATATATTTTTAAGTTGAAGACAGGGATAAAGCTGACAAACTTGAAAGAACACAGTGTTCAGGTTTAGAGAACAAGCTGCAAAAACAAACAAAAAAATCTCTGCATACTCCAAAGCATTTCAAATAAAGTAACTCAGATCTCTAACTTTAAACTAAGCTACTGACATGGTCATATTGAATCAGGATGCTGGATTACGGAGGTACAAAATACAGATTCAGTTTTGGCCATGCCAGTGAGGAAAGAAAACATAAGTCATGTCTTACTAACAAATTTGCTTTGCCAGCAAACCAGAATCTCCAGGAAATGAAAGCTGGAAAAGATATATAGTTGCAGGCTTTTGTTATTGACTTGTAACCAAGATGGCGATAGTGACAATAGTGCTCTGAGTGGAGCTGTGGAAACTGGAAGGGTAGGAAACATGATGATAATTGGAAACCTGAGTTGCCACCATGGAAATTAGGTAGAGGTTGTTGCCAGAGCGTAATGTTGGGACAGCTTGTTAAAGAGCCAGTGGGAAGGGAAGCAAACAACTTTTTGAGTTGTCCTCTGATTCATAATACTTCTGTCAACGTACCAGGAATCCTGGTATGGTTAGATTAAACTTCTTTGCAGAGGCAACAAAAACAAATTTTGGAAACAGAGGCAAAAATAAACAGTTGCTATTCCCAGCAGAGGCATCAACAGCTCATAATCTGAAATGCAGAGTTTGACAGTGCTGAGCTGCTCAGGGGTGGTAAAAGCAGGAACTGTTTGAGTAGAGTTGCAGGAAGACCTTGTGATACCAGGTTGACTTGTCAGTTAACAATGGAAGATTAAATCCTCTGCCAAGTAATGTTAAGCGATGCAGATGCTAAAAGCCCAGTTCTAATTTTGCATACAATGTGTGTATTGACTTACTACTGAAGAATAAACTTATAATTCTTGGATAATAATAAATATCTTTCTGGAAATGACTGCTCAGTGCTCAGATGCTCAGTAGTGCTCCAGGCAAACAGAACTTGAGGAAAGAAAGGAGCAGAGAACAAGATGGTAAATAGCATCTTGTTTCTGTATAAATTCATGTTTTTCTAGCATCCTGAATACAGTGTGCAATACTGGTTTCCTCTCCCTCCCCATTTGTCCCATTTTCCCCCACTGCCTCGTTTCAAAAAGGACCAGGAGGAGATTCAGAGAAGGGCAACAAAGATGTGGAGTGGTTTCCATGCAAGGAACAACTAAGTAAATTAGGACTGAGGTTTGGAAAAGAGTTTGATTGCAGATGATGTGATGGAGGTCTGTAAAATCATGAGTGGCATGGAAAAGGTGAATGCAGAATGATTATTCCTAGTCTATCCTGATACAAGAGCCAGAAGGCATTAAGAAAGAAAATCTTTTTTTCGTGTGTTCAAGAAAAATAAGATACTTTTTCATACAGCGTGTAGTTGTTCTGCAGGATGTTGTAGATGCTAAAAGTTTACATTGGTTCAAAAAGCACTTGAGGTTCACTGGGATGGGCATAGTAATGCATCCATCACCACTGAATATAGAGATGGTGATTCAGATGGCCCTTGAGCCATTTCCAAAAGCTGGGAAAATCTTCTGGAAAACTTATACTGTGTGCTTTCTCTTATGGTATTCCTTAGGAGTCTGCTATTGGTGGTTTTTAGAGATGAGGTGTGGTATTGGTTTAACCTATGGTTGGACCTGGTAGAAAAGGTACATCCTTACCAAGCCCAGAACCATTCTTTCTTTCATACTCTTAAGAGAAGCCTCGCATTGTCTCCCTGAGCTGATGTAGAGCGAGCTGGCTCAGATTTTATTTCATTTTAACTTGGCAAAATGTTAGTTTTTCCTAAACAAGTCAGTTTACATTGAAGTCTCGATAGCTTTCTATACAAAAATTATTTAAAAAAAAAAAAAAAGAGAGAGAGAAAAGAAAAGAAAGCTTCTGGCTGTCATCAGAAAACCTAAAAGTTAAAGCTGTTTTTCCCCTCCAAAATGCAAGCAAGGAAATGGCACTTTACTTCAAAATTTAATTTATTACAGGTCTCTGGGGTGTCTTGCTGTCTGGTCTACATAGTTGTATGAAATAATTCTGTTATATGTTAATGTTGTTTGAACTGGAGAAGAGCAGAGGTTTCAGTATATTTCAAGGAAGGGATGACTGCAGTGTGCAGAATGTGGGATTCTGAAGCAAGAAGACTTCAGCTTTGCTCTCCACCATTGACTGTGTTACCTTAAACAAGGACCTTCACCTCTTTATACATATTATAGTATCAGCTTCACAGAGGACATTAAAGTTGGGACTTTTTTTCTTCCTTGAATATGATTCATTGTTTAGGTGGGTAAAAAGAACCTATAACTTGAATTTATGGTAAAAATGTATTTTCTTCTACGTTCTCCCTTTCTGTAGGGTTGGTTAATATGTGAGGAGCCAACTTGCCAGAATCGAACCCGTCGACTTCCCCTGAGTTTTTCCCGGAGTGGCCCTGTGTGCCAGGCCTGCAGGAAGGCTGTTCTGAGACCTGAG